CCCTAGGTCCACATGCTTGTTGATCCCCTCAAAGAATTCTAGTAGATTGGTGAGGCATGATTTCCCTTTACTAAAACCATGTTGACACTTCCTTAACAAATTATGTTCATCTATATGTGTGACAATATTGTTCTTTATTATAGTTTCAACCAGTTTGCCCTCTCCTGAAGTCAGGCTTACAGGCCTGTAATTGCTGGGATCACCTGTGGAGCCTTTTTTAAAATTGGCATCCCATTAGCTATCCTCCAGTCATCTGGTACAGAAACTGATTTAAATGATAGGTTACAGACTACAGTTAATAGTTCTGCAATTTCACATATGAGTTCCTTCAGAACTCTTGGGTGAATACCATCTGGTCCTGGTGACTTATTGCTGTTCATCAAGTTGTTCCAAAACCTCCTCTAATGATACCTCAATTTAAAACAGTTCCTCAGATCTGTCACCTAAAAAGAATGGCTCAGGTTTGGGAATCTCCCTCACTTCCTCAGGCGTGATGACCGATGCAAAGAATTCATTTAGTTTCTCTGCAATGGCCTTATCATCCTTGAGTGCTCTTTTAGCACCTTGATGGCCCAGTGGCCCCACTGCTTGTTTAGCAAGCTTCCTGCTTCTGATGTAATTAAAAAAAGATTGCTATTACTTTTTGAGCCTTTGGGTAATTGTTCCTAAAATTCTTTTTAGGCCTTCCTATCAAGCTCAGTCTTAAAACAAGTTAGGTATTTTGCTCCTACTACTCTGCTTGGAAGGCTGTTCCAGAACTTCATTCCTCTGACGGTTAGAAACCTGTACCTACTTTCAAGTCTAAACCTATTAATGGCCAGTTTATATCCAGTTGGTCTTGGACCAACATTGGCCCTTAACTTAAATATCTCCTCTTCCTCCCTGGTATGTATCCCTCTGATATATTTACAGAGAGCAGTATCTCCCCATATCCATCATTCTGTTAAGCTAAATGAACCAAGCTTCCTTAAGTCTCCTCTGGTAAGGTAGTTTCTCCATTCCTCTGATCATCCCAGTTGTCTTTCTTTGCCCCTGTTCTACTTTGAATTCACCTTTCTTAAACATGGGAGGCCAGAACTGCACACAGATTCCAGATGTGGTCTCACCAGTGTCTTGTATAATGGTAATAACACTTCCTATCTTCAATCTAATATGCATCAAGCGAGGCATTTGTAAATACCTCACTTGATGCATCCTAGGATTGTGTTAGGCTTTTTCACAGCCACATCACATGGTGGCTTATAGTCATCCTGTGATTTACAAAGACACCCAGGTCTTTCTACTCCTCTGTTGTTTAGAACTGATACATCAGCATTAAATAGGAAAAAAAATTGTTTAGTCCCTAAGTGCATGACTTTGCACTATTACATTTCATTCCATTTCTATTACTCCAGTTTTTCAGGTCATCCAAAATCTCTTGCATGATATTCTGGTCCTCCTCTATATTGCCAATATCTCCCAACTTTGTGTCATCCTCAAATTTCATTAGCGCACTCCCACTTTTTTGTGCTAAGTTCATTAATGAAAATGTTAAATAAGATTGGTCCCAAGATGGATCCTTGACAGACTTCACTAGTAACTTCCTTCCAGCCTGACACCTTTCAGCATGACCTGTTGTAGTCTTCCCTTTAACCAGTTCCTTACCCAACATTCAATTCTCATATTAATTCCCATCTTCTCCAATGTAACTAATAATTTCCCATGTGGAACTGTATCAGATGCTTTACTGAAATCCAGGTAGATTAGATCTACTACATTTCCTTTGTCTAGAAAATCAGTTATCTTCTCAAAGAAAGAGAGCAGGTTGGTTTGGTATGATCTACCTTTTGTAAAACCATGCTGTATTTTATTTCATTTGCTGTTACCGCTGTGTCATTAATTGCTCCTTCTTTCTAAATTTGTTCTAAGACCTTGCATACAACTGAGGTCAAACTAATGGGCCTGTAGTTTACTAGATCACTTTTATCTTCTCTTCCTTAAAAATGGGTACTGTATTTGCGGTTGTCCAGTCATCAGGTATGACCCCGAAGTGTACAGATTCATTAAAAATCATTGCTATTGTGCCTGCAATTTCATGTGTCATTTCCTTTATTCTTAGACAGAGATTATCTGGACCCTTCAATTTGGTCCCATTAAGCTGTTTGAGCTTGGCTTCCATCTTGGCTGTGGTAATGTCTATTTCCATATCATTGTTCCCAAACCCTGCCACTGCCCCCAGGTTCCTCATTACCCTTATTAAAAACTGAGTCAAAGACTTCATTTAGGCGTTGGACCAGACCTAGGTTATCTTTACTCTCCACTCCTAAGTGCTCACTGTCTTTACCTTTCCACATCCTCCGGGACAGGGGGCAGCTATTTGTGATGGATGGGGGAACTACCATCACCATTGGCTACCATTGTGAAACCTCTATTTTAAATTTGGACACAAATAAAGGTCCTTTTGTAATTTGGAAAAAGAATTCTACAGTGTTAAATCTCAGGGCTATAGTAGACAAGCCCTTAGTAAGTAATGGGGAAAAGAATAAAGGAAATTGAGGGGGGAAAGCCTTTATTAATTCCTTTAGTTTACGGATGTTTTAACTAGTTTTCCATGACAACCACTCCAGTGGGGGGCTGCAGACATTCAGATGCAAATACCTCTGATGGCAAAAGAGCAGTTATCGACGTAATCAGAATTGTCAAGCCACAAACAATAATGGTGCATTAAACATCTGAGTCAGCATTATAATCTGTGTCCTCACTGTTAAGAAAAGTGGTTTTTTTTTAATTATTATTTTTTACTGCTGTGTAGCTAACATCTATTAGCTATCACTCTATAAAACCATAGTGGAAACAAGGCACTTAAGTTTTGCCAAAAGGCAAACTAAGGGAGGTCAGCATTATGCACCCCACCTTCCCAGACCAATGCAAAGGAGTGAGAGAATAATTGATTTTTAAAAATTGCTGATTTTTGGCAGTACAAAACAGTGAATTTCTCAGAAACAGAATATATCCTAAGAAAATATGTAGCATACATAAAGAGCTATAAAAGTAAAATATGCAATTAGCAATATAAACAATTTGGTAGAACAACAGCATCTATGTCTGCAACAAATGAAGTAATAGAAAAGTGTGTGCTCCAGTGTTTCAGTGGCGGATTAATGCATGGGTGTGACAGGTTCCCCTGGGGTACCACCTGAAACTGGGGTACCACTGAGACCACTTCACCCACCAGCCTGGGCTCCCTTTCACACTGTGGTGCTGTGATAAGTTGCCAAGCTCTCCAACCTTGCTCTTTCATCAGCATACACACAGATCCAGCTGCAGCTTTACACACAGATGCTGAGATCAGCTCTGTATGGGAAGGCTCAGCTAAGGCACCTCCCAGTTGCTAAGGCACGCACCTCCCTCTGGAGTGTAAACCCAAAATTATACCACCTTGCACTGCACAGGAAACTGTACAGCATAAGCTCATAAAGTTTCCCCCTCCCTCAATGTGGAGAGAGATATGCAACAGCTTTCCACCCCAAGTTATAATTTCCACACACTGGTTTTAGACAAAACAAAAATAAGTTAGATTTTAAGTGATAGCAACCTTTGTAAAGGTTGAAAGCATCTAGATGCTTTTAAATATCCCACCAGTGACCTAAATACCTTTAGAAATGTGGCCATAAGGGCACTGTACTATCTTGTATGAAACCCTTAAATACAGCCTTTGGTTAATATCTGGGAATGAAGTTCTACACACAATGGTGACATGTGAAAAAGCACTAGGGTGATGGATACAGAGGTGAAATAACAGTTGACACAGGCAGTCCTCATTGGCAAATCAAAGGAAGCTAAAGTTTTGACGCTAACCCAGGAAATTAGTCAGCCCTGAAGTCATGTGATCTTAAAGAATAAATCTGTTATATTAAAAAAAAATTAAAAATTGTAGATGACAAAACTGCAGTAAAAACATAGGAAGTGTTATTCTAGAAATATTGTCCGATATGATTGCTGAAGCTACTAGCAACTGTTAATATGTTCAAGGATCTAGTATTAAAATATAAGTTAAATAGCACGTCATCCATTGACATAGTATTAATGAAGGTAAGTGAAGTGCTAAGAATAAGAAGAGTAATAAAAATAACATTTTAAAAAATATTTTAAAGGCATGAAACTACATTTATAGTGAACTACAAGAAAAAGAAAAGGAGGACTTGTGGCACCTTAGAGACTAACAAATTTGAGCATAAGCTTTCGTGAGCTACAGCTCACTTCATCAGTGAAGTGCATCCAACAAAGTGAGCTGTAGCTCACGAAAGCTTATGCTCAAATAAATGTTCGTCTCTAAGCTGCCACAAGTACTCCTTTTTCTTTCTGCGGATACAGACTAACACAGCTGCTACTCTGTCACAAGAAAAAGACAGTCCAATGCCAGCAGTCAGAACAGCAGCTGAGACCAGGTACTCTGAGGCTTTATGCAGACATACTATCGGATAACCACTTTCTTTAACCAAAAAGAAAAGGAGTACTTGTGGCACCTTAGAGACTAACCAATTTATTTGAGCATGAGCTTTCGTGAGCTACAGCTCACTTCATCAGATGTATACCGTGGAAACTGCCACTACAACTAAGGATGGCCATCAGAGTTTTTAGGGGTGTGCGTGTGTGTGAAATATTTCACCGGATCCTTCAGCAGCTCACTCCATCCTTGCAGGTGGAGAAACCCGGCCTTGTCCAGGCTCTGGGCTGCGCTGAGCCTGTAAACACTCAGCCCCGGGAGGCGGGAACCGACCTGCCCAGCTGGGGGAAACAGCCCTATTTCTGCTGCCCTTTGTGGGAACTTTGCCCGAGGCTCCCCCATCTGCCTCTGTCTGGCAGCGCCTCCCCCACCCCCCTGATTCCACCCCTTGACTACCCCGGCCTCCCGCTGTTGTTTGCCCCTCCTGGGCAGCCACTCTCCCCTCCCCCATCCCGCGCCCTTTCACCCAACAGCGGGGAGCCCGGTCACAGCCCAAGGCAGGGCAGAGGCTTCAGCAGACGCCATCACGCGTGCGCAGCCCCCAGGCGCATGCTCGGAGGGTGATCGCACAGGGGCGGGGAGGAGGCGGTTACGCCGGCAAGATGGCGAAGGTCTCGGAGCTGTACGATGTGACCTGGGAAGGTAACTGCTCCTGGCCGAATGGGGGGGGATCCGGGGCGTGCGGCCGGCCGGGCTCCGCCCCCCGTGACCTGCCTCCCTCTGACTCTGCGCCGGGTCACTAGCACGGGCTGCCCGGCGGGGGGAGCCGAGGTTGGGGGGGTGGTCTCGTCTGGCTGGGGCCCGAGCAGTGCGCTGAGCTCCCCGCGAGAGGCCAGCGCCGCCGGCCTTCCCAGCTGGCAGTGGGGCGCACCGGCCACTGGCTGCATGGGCGGTCACCCTGCGGCCCCCAAGCGCCCCCTTCCTGGGACGGACTCGGGCGGAGGCTGCGCCTGGCCGGGACACAGTACGAGGTTGGGGCCTGCCCCTCTGCGCCAGGTGCGGGCAGGCAGGCTCAGCTCACCAGGATCCAAGTGTGGAGGGGCTCAGTGTGTGTGTCGGGCGGACTCCAGGGTGGGATGAAAGGGTTCTGTGTGGGCCAAACTGGGTGCGGGGGGGATCTGAATGCACAGGTGCTCGTTTAGGACATCTCGGCGCAGGGGCAGTGGGACTTTGCCGGGGGGGGGCGGGGGGGTCCAGATGAAGGTGGTTGGGGCTCAGCAGAGAGGATCCAAGTGTGGGGGAATGGGGCCCTGTAAAGGGGGGGGTGTCTGGGTGCAGCTGGTTGTGGCTTGGTGAGGGGGCGGGAGGCTTGGGGAGGTCCAGGTGGGTGGGCTAATTAGGGTGGGGATTCAATGGGCCTGCTTAACAGGGGAGCCCCAGCTGCATCTGCTGAGGGGATACCACATGCAAAGCTCCCATTTGTGCCCCCCCCTTTGCCCTTCCCTCCCCATTCCATCCCCCTTCCTCTCCCCACTGTTTCCTGCCCCATTTCCCTTCTCTCTCTCCCTCCCTCCCACATTCCCCTTTCCCTGGCCCTCTTCTCAGTATTTACGCTACCTTGCATGCCAGTATCTCCCAAATGAGAACTGGCAGGGAAAAGTTTGTCCTCTCTCCCTGACTGTAACATCACATGTGTGGAACAGGTATCCTGGTCCAAACTTCTTTCCAAACCTTCTCGCACATGTGCTCTGTTACAAAATTTCTGTTAATGTGTTTAGCTCACATTGTTGTTAAACCTGCATGGTATCTTGACCTGTTGGCAGACAACCCACTAGCAACTGTCCTTTCATTGTTGAGAGAGAAAAAAGCCTTAATGAGAAACTACATGCTTACACTTAAAATTGTCCAATAACTCAGGGCAGGTCTATACTAGAAACTTTTCCAGTAGAGGGGTGAAACTTTTTTAAAATGACGCTTCTATACTTGCAAAAAGCCCTGGTTTAGACACAGTTACACCAGCTGTTATAGTTTATTTCATTTGGGGAATTGGTATAACCTATACCAGCAAAAGAACTCTTGTATAAGCTTATGTCTACACTGACAAACCCCTTTTAGCGTAGACATGGCCTCAAAAATGGCTGTACAGATTTAACTCTGATTTTCGAATAAAAGAAAATAGATGGAAAATTTCAAGCCCCAAAGAAAACTTTACAGAAAGTTGTATGCAACTGACCCCTTTGAATATTATCAAGAATGACAGATACTTCTCATGGACACAGTAGGGAATTATGTGTTGGTTTTTCAAAAGCTGCTAAGTGACTTATGAGTACAAGCTGCAATGGGGCTGATGCTTTGAAATCACGTAGTTGCTTCTGAAAGTTTCATCCTTACACTTTCATATTACAATAAATTATTTTACTTTGGGGCTTTTGTCTAAAGTCCTCAAAGTACTTTGCAACAAACAACTAATTTACTCTTGCCATCCACAAATGCCAGATCATATAGCATCAGGGTGAATTTGATTTAAATCATAATTTAAATCACTACTCAGGATGACTCTATTTAATCATGGATTTCTACATAAAAGTGCATTCTTCTTGGTTGTTATAACCTTAATACATATTCTTCACAACTCGGAGGTAAATGTAGGTTTCATTGTTAGAAGATACACACTATACGTTTTTAAAGTGATTTATTTTGAAAACTTTGGCTAGGAGGTGCATCAAATGAGCACTGCAACCATATGTTGTTAGCTTGGGACTCTCTGCTAAATGATTTCTTCTCATCTTGGATACATTTGCAGCACTGTCTGTGACCAAGCTGCGTACTAGACATTTGAATTTCTTTCCGCAGCTTGTTATAGCTTTTACTGCTACTTCTTGTAAGTATTCTGCTGTGTGTGCATTTCCTGATGTACCAATTGTTTCATTAAGGAAGACATTCCCTTCTTCTGTTGTCACACAAGCACATACAACAGCATCATTGTGGACATTGCTCCACCCATCAAGACTCAGGTTAACAATTTTACCCTCTAGACCAGTGCTTCTCAAGCTATCTGATGTGGGGGACCGTCAATTTTTTTTTCCAATATGCTCCCAGACCGGCGGCCGATGGCTCGGACCACCACTTTGAGTAGCACTGCTCTAGACCTTTTGCACACTGCTCAATTTCTTTCATACACTTTATCCAGCAATTTGCCTGTGACATCTGCTCTGTTGGGTGAACTGTATCCTTGTCTTAATGACTGAACCATGTTAATGAAGTGTGGGTTCTCAATTATATGGAAAGGAGACTTTGTTGCATAAACAAACTGGGCAATTTTATCATCAGTTACCTCTTTTTGTAATCTGCCGGTTCTTATCACAAACTTATCTATGGTGGTTTCTGGATGATGGAATTTTTTTTTTTTCTTTTTGCTACAGGTGATAACTGTGGCTATGTGACATACATGATATGGTTGAAACACTATCATTGGCAGATAACTCTGAAACTATAGAAAATGATGGTGATCTTGAAGGTGGATAGTCTTCAGAATCCTGTATGTTGAGGATGGATTCTCTTAAACAAAATAAGTCAATGCAGTTATTTAATTGAAGTGAAGCACTAAAATGGGTTACCTAGGGAGGTGGTGGAATCTCCTTCCTTAGAGATTTTTAAGGTCAGGCTTGATAAAGCCCTGGCTGGGATGATTTAGTTGGAGATTGGTCCTGCTTTGAGCAGGGGGTTGGACTAGATGACCTCCTGAGGTCCCTTCCAACCATGATACTTTGTGCTTCTATGAATTAATATTACCATATTGCTCATTTAGTATTACTCATTGCATTCACTGACCCTCAATACTACTTAAAAAATAAATAGCTGAAATAGGCAGATCTTCCTTTTGCAATTTTATCTTTAATCACAACTGCATCTAAAATGTAACAACTGTATTTTTTGCTCAAACATGATAATTGAAGAACAGTCCAGAAGGAAGACAGGCTGTCCTTAAGAAAGAAGTACTTTTATTTTATACACCAAATAAGATGACTAAAACTGGGATTGCCACAGAGAAAAGTAAGGTTCTTAAACATTAACTTAGCTAACTGCAGATGTTGAGCTGTCACAGTTAGAGGCAACATAGGCCAGTGGATAAAGCACTGGTCTTTGTTAGTAGGTGAGGATTTTCTTTTCTGGCAAGACTGCCATTCAGAAGCTTGGATACCCTGGTACAGGGCAAGGAGATAAGAACCTGAATACAACACAGTTGTTCTTTTACTTCCTAATGTGTGACCCTGGGCAAGTTGTTTAGTCTGTTGCTATTTTACAGATGAGAGTGAAAAACTTAGATACCATTGTAAAGGACTTTAAGAAAGTAATATAAAAATTGGTGGTATAAATCATTAAGTATACAGTCCTCCTTGTTGTGGGCCCAACTGCCTAATAATTGATCACAGTTAGTTAGACAAATCAAAGTAAAAGTGCAGAAAATGTGAATATCTGCTATTGGGTAATCATGCCCCTAACTATGGATTTATTTTCTTCAATTGTGTTTTTAAAGTAAAGACTCGAAAACTATATTCCAAAATGCAGACTGAACAAACAAAGAGAATTAAAATCTTAAAATACTTGGAAAAATTAAGATTTTAGTCTAGCGACTTTGATACCCAGAAAATGTGAACTGAAAACCTAGTAAAAGTGAAGTAACTACAAACTATACCTTTTTGTTTTCCAGTGTGCCCATGTCATCCTTCCAGACTGTAAACTCTCCAGAGCAGAGATTGCATTTCACTTCTTGCATAGAATGGCCCCAGTATGCTCAGTTCTATTACCACCATTGTGACAAAGTGTCTGTTGCAGTGGGTTTCTTACACTTCCGTTTATATATCTGTAACTCTGGACGACCTTAACCATTTTTCTTTTAAACCACACTAAAATAAACAGATCCATCAGTTCTTCTAGATCAACTTATATACATAGCAACATAAATATAAGTGAAATTAACCAACCTCCCCGCGCCTCTGCCAGAGTCCAATACTGCTACTACCCAGCCCTGTGTTACAAAGTACAGGTGTACTTGCCCTAAAAATTTAAAGTATGATTGGCTGACACAACCGATAAGCTTAACACCCCCCACCTCCCAAAATGAGTCTGCTTAGATTACCAACATTTTTCATTTTTTTGGCCTTCTGTTCAGAGTGCAGCACTTTATAATCTAGCTAACATATTTTTTATTGTATTTATGTATACTAGCACATTTATTTTTGCTTGCGTTCTTACTTTCAGTGATCAAGGGATACAGCATACTCTGTGTTTTGCTTTTTTCCATCACTGCAAAGCCTACTTTGGTGATTAATGGTTGACATGAATGTTGTTAGTAGCTTAGATAGTATTACATTTGAAAGTTATCCTGGCATGGAGGCTTTAATAGTTGTCAAGTAAATGAATTGGTGAAAATTGGATGACTTATTTATTTTGTGTATGTTTAGACTGTCAGTTTGTGTGATACATTTGTGTTCAGTCACATTCTTGCTGTCTAATATTTAAATTGCCAGGGATAGTCATGCCAAGAACCATTTAATTTTACTCATGCACATCAAATGTAACCCTGTGGTGGTTTTGGTTGACTTTCAAAATACAAAATGTGACACAGTAACAGTTTTATGAGAGAGCTGAGATCACTTCTGGTAGATGGAAAAGGGTCTACATTTACTCTTAAACTGTCAAGTTTCGTTAATTTGTGCATTTTGAAATGCAAGGAAAACTGTCAAAATATAGCAAGGTCTATTAGCTATAGGAAAATTATAATTCATGGGGATGCTGAAACTTACTTTGAAAGTTACCAGATAAGGTTATGTTGCAGATACCAATCACAAGTTTGAAAATAGGAGTTGTTCTGTTTTTCTTGTTTGTATGATGAAGTTTTGTATTGGTAGCTTAGAACAGTTCTAAGGTGGAACTCCACTTCTTGTTTTTTTTGTTTTTTTTTTCCCTGTCTACTCTCTGTGGACTCACCTTCCTTCCCAGTAGTGATGAACAGTAATATCTTGTATAATGGTGCTTTCTATGCAGGAGAATCTGAGTGCCCTCCAAAGCATATCCATGCAACATCACTCAAATATATAACTCACTCAGGGTTGGAGAGGGTGACAGCCAGATGGACAAATGGCACCAATGGTTGAGAGAGGGTAATTATGACTAAGAATACCAGGATAAGCCCTTAGCAAGATTTAATAAGATCTTCAACCTGTTGCCATCCCCAGTAGGGGAGGAACTCAGTTTTTAAGGTTTTTGTTTGATTGGTTTATTTTTTGTTAGTTTGAAGTCCTACACATATTAACTTGTGTAGCCCTACACATATTAAATTGATCTACGCTGAATCGTAGGGCTTGAATTGGCCATGCTCGGAGCTGAATCTGTATTGTATGGAGTCTTTTTCATATCTGATGTTTAGATTGTTAATCCAATATCCTCTGAACTCACAAATTCAGTGGATTACTTCCCCCCTCCCCCCCCCCCTTGCTTTTGGACAGTCTACACAAGGGTTGCAAGATAACAATTTCAAAGTTCCAGGGATCAATCTGTCCACAAGCGATTCTGGTATTAGTGGAAATTACTTCTGTGGATCTCCTGTATATGTTTAAGAATAGATTATATCCCTCAAAGTCATTTCCAGAAATAGACTTCACATTATGTTGTTGCATGGAAATCTTATATTTTGTTTTTCAGAGATGCGTGATAAAATGAGGAAGTGGAGGGAAGAAAACCATCGGAACAGCGAGCAGATAGTGGAAGTTGGAGAAGAGTTAATTAATGAATATGCATCTAAGCTTGGGGATGACAGTAGGTTGAAATTATTTGAAAACCTTTTACTATCTGTCACTGTTAGTATATGCAGCTAGTTTTGTTACTCTGCTATTCGCTTGTTATACTCTCCATATTATTTTTACTCTTTTGTTGTCATTCTGCATCTACTAATGTTGAGTACATACATTATTTTCTTAATTTTCTAATTTGCCAGTATTCTAAGCTCTTAATTTGCTTCTCAAAGATGGCTTGTAGAGGAAGTAGGTGAAAAACGTATCTAATTGAGCTTAGGGGTGCTGGAACAATTTTTATAGTGAAGGTGTTGAGTCTTTGAACCAAACTGTAAACCCTGTATATAATGGTAACCACTTCAAGCCAGAGGGTGCTGCTGCACCCCCAACACCCCTAGTTCCAGCACCTATGATTGGACTCTTAGGTTGGCACATAGTGACCAGTCATAAGAATCTACTGTGAACATTTGGCAGAGATTTGTTGTCTAGCTGTCACTCAACAGGTCATCTACACTTCAGAAGGATGGCAAAAAAAAAACGAGGGGAGTTTTTTAATAAGGAAAAGGGAATGCTATTCCTTAAATTAAGCCATAAGTGATACTATGTTGTAGAAATTAATACGAAAGCTGTTCTTATGATAGAATAGCATTTGTGACGCTGTAGTTTAGGGCACCTCTGGGTTTCTGCAATATATAAAATAGCTATTTTCAGGGGATTTTAATTCCTTGACACTATGTCTCTCGGGACAGAACTTGGCGTAGAGTGCTTCAGACCAGAAAGGAATTGTTCAGAAATAACAATGCAATATTACTTTTTATGTAAGAGCAGTAGAAAAAACAAAATACTTCATGGCAAGAATACTTCATGGCAAGAATTTGCATATGAATCCCATACAGGCAGGAAGGGATAAATATCCATGATTTGTTTTTAATGTTCATTCCTCTTTCTTTGGCTTTCCTTTTTATAATTTAGTTAACTTAATACAAAAAGTACATTTTCACTTTCATTTTTTTTCATTTGCCAGCCTTTCTTTTAGAGTTGCTATTGAAGTTTTGCAACCATAGTGATGAAATATATTTATTAGTTGAAGTCTGAAGAGCTTTAAACAAGTCCCTATTTAATTTTAATAAATTATTTCTTTAACAGACCAGTGACTAAAAATCTAGCAAAATATATCCTGGACTAACTCTTGCACTCATTTTCTTAATATTTGACCAAAAATCTTTCAACTTGCAAGTTTCCTGGAAACTGTAAAGATGGCTCCCTGTACCATGGTATTTCCTCCAGATTTCTTGCAATGAGAGGGATCTTAAAATGCTAACCATTATAAATAGTACATCATCTTTAGATAGTCATATGGATAATCTATGCCATGGGTGGCCAGCCTGAGAAGGAGCCAGAATTTACCAGTGTACATTGCCAAAGAGCCACAGTAATATGTCAGCAGCCCCCCATCAGCTCCACCCCCTTCCTCTCCCCGCTCCCAGTGCCTCCTGATCCGCTGTTTCATGGCATGCAGGAGGCTCTGGGGGCGGGGGGAGGGAGAGGAGCGATGGCATGGCAGGCTCGGGAGGGACCAGGAAGGGGTGGAGTGGGGACAGGGCTTGTGGCAGAGCCAGGGATTGAGCAGTGAGCACCCCCTGGCACGTTGGAAAGTTGGCGCCTGTAGCTCCAGCCCTGGAGTTGGTGCCTATACAAGGAGCCGCATATGAACCTCAGAAGAGCCGCATGTGGCTCCGGAGCCACAGGTTGGCCACCCATGTTCTATACAAACAGCCTTCGCTATGTATATTGTAGCACAATCTTCTTGGGACTAAGAGTCTTTAAATACCTAATAAGAGTCTTGCATGTGCTGCCTCCCTTCTTCAACTATTATAAATGCATTGTAAGACTGCATGCATGGGTGCTGGGACTAGGGGTGCTGGGATGCTGCTGCACCCCCTGGCTTGAAGTAGTTTTCATTATATACAGGGTTTACCGTTTGGTTCAATGCTTCTCAGCACCCCTGACTCCATGGGTGGATTTGATAGTAGCTCCAGCAGGAAGTTGGTGGTAAAATTAACGCAGGGCCTAACAAAGGGAGCTGTTGTCATTTTTTTTCTCTTTAAATAAACAGAAACTCACTGTGGATTAGCTTCTTTTATTAGGCTCTTGTTAATCAGTTATGAGTTATTTTATTATGGGCTGGTGCTGGCTTTGTGGGGTGCCTCCCCACCCCGTCTTTACCAGAGCCCTTGCACAGTGGGCCACTCCATAGCCTTCTGCATCACAGGCTGAGTCCCTCTTTATCATGCCCTCTGTTGTCCAGTCCAGTCTTCATCATTTTCAGAGTGTGTGTGTAGACTGGACTATATCTGTGTCCCATATTTTACTGTAATCAGATTTTACTAGCTAAATTAGTTGCAACCTTCATTTGAATTGCTAGACTTCCAAGCAAATGTGTAAGAGGATCAAAAATTATTTACAGGTCTGATTGTATTCCTGTTGGGTTCTTTTCACTGTTTCAAGGAAGATATAGTAGAAACATAATGGGTTCATAGATGGGCAGCAAAAATGACTCGAGGCATGGAAATACTTTTTTATGAACGACTGAAAGATTGGGCCTTTTTGGTTTCGAGAAGAGACAGGTAAGAGGAGCACAATAGAAGAATGCAAAACTATAAAATAAAACAACAAATACCCAACCCTCAAAGATGACGCTATATACACAATTTCCCCACCAACTCCCCTGTGGAGACATGAGAGAATGAACCACATGTGGCACTTAATGCACTAATGGAAGACACTACGAACCTATATAGAATAGAAATTAACAAATGCCACAGAGAAGGTAAATTGGGTATCTGTTTACACTGTCCCATCATACAGAGGACATCCAATAAAACTGAAAGGAAACCATTTTCAAATTGATAAAAAGAAACATCTTTTAAAAGAACACCTTATTTATCCTGTGGAACTCATCAAAAGCTGTTGAGTGTTTAACAGTGGTCAAAGAAGGACTGAACTTTTATATGGATGGTCAGAAAATCCAAGTCCAATTGAATGGGATTTAAAAATATATAAAAGCCCTTGGCTTCCCTCAGGGGCAGCTTATTGTATAACTGTCAGCTGCAGGGGTTCTTGTGCTAAGCATCTGGAGCTAGCCACTGCTAGAGACAGGATACCAGATGAGTGGACTACGGCCTGATGTGTTCCAATGAAATCTGATTTTCCTTGTGGTAACTTAGCATTTTTTTAATGTAATTTTTCTTCTAATGAAATTAGAAATACCTGTTCAGTGAGCAATAGCCTTTATTTTGGTATGGGGAAAGGTTAACGTTACTGTTTAGATTTGTGCTTTCTTTCTTAGGAAATTCCTATATAAAAGGTTAATTTGTTTTCCCTCAAGTTCTCTGAGCACCAGTGGTGGTGGCTATTTGTCCTCTTTGTAGAAAATTTTTGCTTCAGGCCTGATCCTGCAAGGAGCTGAACACGCTTCACTCCCATTGACTTAACACTCAGCTCACTCTGGGGAGTGTTACATACTCCCCTCCCCTTCCTCCCACCTCCACCTCCCCACCCGTGTTCTCTGTCTTGTCTAACAGGACTGTAAACTCTCCCTAGCAGGGACTGTCTCTTACTCTGTACAGTTCCTAGCACAATGGGGCCTCATTTTCAGTTGTCCCCTACACTCTATCCTAATACAAATAACATTTGTCAGTGGAATAAGCTAATTCCCACAGAACAGGGAAGAAGGCAATATTGTACTTACAGTAAGGTAGTGAAACAGTTAAGGGAAAAGTTTTCTTCTTTCTAGCATGTATGGCTGCTCTCCAGATCTGGTCACAGTGCATTTCATAATGGGTCTATTTCAACAGACAACTGTAGATACAATGTTAAGAAAAGCAAAGAATTAGAATTTTTTGCCTTTCAAGATGTCAAAAGATACTTTGTTACTGCAAGTAAAATTGCATAAGTGTACTTTTAATTAATTCCAGCAGTGTGTTGAAATGTCCCTGTTTCAGTAATGATGTACAGGAGTGGTAGGGAAAAATATACAAAGACGGAATTCATTAACCTTATTTACGTTTTAGGTGTTTCCCATCATTTTGAAAAATCAATTCTCACATTTAATATGTCTCTCTTGTATCTAGTATGGATAATATATGAACAGGTGATGATTGCTGCCCTGGACTGCAGTCGGGATGACTTGGCATTGGTAAGTTGTCAAGCAGATATTTCACTCAAACCTTAAGTTTTTTTTCACATGAACCTATTCCAGATTGGTTCTTTGGACAGTTTTATAGGATGCTAGGAACTATGTAGCTCGGCCTTGTAGGATTTCAAGAAATATACTGCTGGGGAGAAACCTCCTCCACTCACCTTAATGTGTAACTCTTATTTGGGGAGATCATGTTTCTTCTAGCTGTGAAAACATTTATAGCTACTCTGATATGGGCTGAAAGTCAGGAATAATATTAAAACTGCCATATTGTCCAGAGAATATTTGTTGGAAACCTCTCAAATTTTATCACTTTTTCAAACACATTGAGAAAAAGTGTCCAGAGCTGTGCATGTGAATTTAGCTGCAGATAATTATTAACATTAACAGGAGTCATGCAGCTAAATGCTTGCACAGTGTATTAGGAAGGCCAATGTGTATGATCAGCTGCTTGCAGCATTTTTCAAGGTGAATATTAAAGCAGAAAATGTGGCTGTACCCTTTATTACTCCTTCGTGGTATATAAAGAGTCATAAACTTAAACATGCTTTGTTTTTTTTATACTACAAATATATTGAGTTGTATTCTTTCCTTCCCTCCTCCCCATGCGTCCTGAGGAGGAAGAGCTGGAGCTGAAGTTACAGCATTATGTGACATCACTTTTCACCCCCTGAAAGCACACCAGAGTCCTCCTGCAAAGACAAAAGGGAGGACCTGAGAGTCACATGAGGCTTGGTACTACACCATTAAAATCAGCGGGGCTTTTTTCCATTGGCTTGAATGAGACCAGGATTAAGCCCATGTAAAATAACTCGGAATGAGGGGGAGAAGTGGTTTAACAAATCAAAACCAAAAAACAAGTGCCCTTGCCAGTACTCATTTCTTAAAGTTACTGCATTTCAGCCATAGAAGTTGGTCCAGTAGAAAAAAAATTTTTTTTCAGAATACTTCAATATGCTTTCTTAATAGATCAACATTGTGAATAGCCTTGTTAGAAATAGCCTGTTAAGTAAATTAAGGGAGCCTTCTTATATTTTAATTTGTTTGTTACAGGCCACAATTGGTCTCTAAAGCTTAAAAAGCCTTTTGGATATCTTATTCAGCCTTTTTTTTAACATTACTACTTAGATGCAGGGGGAAAAGTAAGATTTTTAGCTAATAATTAACATTGTTGTGTGGTTAGTGAACTAATTCTTTCTCCAGCATCTTATGTCAAAGGATTGAAGACAAAGCGCCTATGCAGGGCTCTAAGCACTATTGTAATGGATTAAAAATGCAAACAAAAGCAAACTCAGCAACTTTCCCAAAATCAGGAAAGAAAAATGACAAAAGGACCTCTGTGCACACATTTCAACCCTCAGTGCATTCTCCTGCCTGGCATGGGAGAAGAACTGTGTTTTGTTGTGCCCAGATGGTCAACAGGCCTGGGCTTCTTCAGACCAAGAAGGGAGAGAATTCCATAGTTCAGAGTCCTGCATTGAGACTGCTCTTACAGTGCCTTGTGCACACTTAAACGCCAGGGTTTCAGTTCAAGTGCCTTCACTGACCACAGCTATGGCAGTATAGAACTGGGAGAGTGTCCGTCTCTCGAATAGCCAGGATTAGAAAAGTGTAATGATCTTGAGTTCCATGTTTTAGGGTGAACTTCAGTATATACAGTAACGTAATATACCATATTGCACTTTCTGCAAGCCTCATGAATTCCTCTCATAGATAGGTCTTCTCTTCCACCAAGGAAATAAATGAATAGATTGAGAGAGAAGCCTCTTTTTATACTAGGTTTCAGAGTAACAGCCATGTTAGTCTGTCTTCGCAAAAAGAAAAGGAGTACATCCGATGAAGTGAGCTGTAGATCACGAAAGCTCATGCTCAAATAAATTGGTTAGTCTTTAAGGTGCCACAAGTACTCCTTTTCTTTTTATACTATTTTTCCACTTATTTTTTCTGAGTTTTTTTTATCTCTGTGGGTTTTTTTAACGCTTTTGTGAAATGCTTAAATGGACCAACATGGGGAAAAAATCAAAAATTGCCAAATACTGTGTTTACTAATAACCCAAGCAGCAGCTTTGAGTTTGGACTACTGGCCTCTTAGTGTCCTATGAGGAACACAGCATGATCTGAGAGTATAGCTGCTTATCCACAGCACTGCGTATACGCTAAAAGCTTAGTGCAAGCCTTACATCTGAGTTGGGGTTATTTTAGTTTTGTTATAGGTCCACACATTTAATTCAAACTAGCTAACATCATAGTGGCTTTTTGCTACAGCTGCAGCCCCTGAGTATGTGAATAGTTTTTGAATTCCTATTACTTAGCAGTGAAGCACTTGACAGCTGTGATGCATCTTTCCTAAGGGACTGGTGTCTGTTCCAAATGAGAAGTCTGAGATGGTTTTCATCTCATTATTCTTTTTTGTCCTCTGATTTTCTTCATTCCCTTGCACCAAATAACTGATCATAACCCATGCATATACTACATGTAGCCAATTCCATATTTGTAACACATGGCTTTAGTGAGATCACCTACTGTTGGTAGACACCTGCAAAACCTGTGTCTAACATGCTAGAGTTACATTTTCTTTGCCTTTGTAGGATTAATCAGACTCTTAAGATTAAGAAACCTACCTGTTGAAGTACAGTAGAACTTCAGAGTCACAAACACCAGAGTTACGAACTGACCAGTTAACCACACACCTTATTTGGAACCTGAAGTACACAATCAGGTAGCAGCAGAGACACCTACCCCCCCCCCCCCCCCAAAAAAAAAAAAAAAAAAAAGGCAAGTATAGTATAGGGGGTGAATATCTTCTGCTCAGCTGTCTCATTGCTTGCAGGAGTGTGCAGACTGCATCTCCTGTGTCTATAGGATTGATTGAACCCAGTGACACAAACATTATTATATATAAATGTTTTCTTTGTATTGCAAACCATTATAAACAGCTTCTTTCAAAGGCAGTTTTTTCCATTATAAAAAATACATTCATTAAACAAAAAAGTGCCACCTGAACTCTTATTGTTTTTATAGGTGGGGTTTTTCTTTTGTGCACTGATTTAGGAAGGCCTCAAATCTGAAAAGCAAATAAAAATCTTCCAAGCTAAATAACTGTTTCCAAGGAGCTCTGATTGTCTAGCTACTTGCATGGAAAATTCATCTTGTAATTAAGTCTTCTAGCTGACAAGGTTTCAATTTCTGAGCTTGTCTTTATTAATACATTTTATTGCTTATCCCAGAAGTTGCTGTTTTGTTTTAATCAAAAGTCACATTCCAAGTTGTTGACTTAGTCAGTCAAGGACTATTTTTTTTCTTTTTCTTTCCATGTGTTGAATAATATTCACAGGGTATTGACTGAATTAAACAGTTTAAACTCTGAAAATAATTAATCGGTGGCCATGAGTCTTTCTCAGCTTGGAGTCTGTGGTCTGTCTACATATTCTGGAATCCTTGTGATATCACTGGACAGGAAGTAGTAGACCTTTTTCTAGGCATTGATGTGCTTTTTCTCTGGTTGTGGTAGGAAGTGCTGGTGACAAATACGCCTTCTGATTCTGACTTTTTTTTTTAATGTGATAAGTAGTATTTGTCACTCAAAGCTGAATCACTAACTCTGAGGAATTTATTTTATTTATGCAGTTTTGTCTTCAGGAGCTAAGGCGACAGTTCCCTGGGAGCCACAGGGTTAAGCGATTAACTGGCATGAGATTTGAATACATGGAAAGGTATGGCTGAATTTAAAAACCTAATTCTTGTCTGGAAAAAGGTACTTGATATCTCTTGAAAAAGGAATTCTTCACACAGTAAAATTCAGAGCAGAGGGTATAAATGCAATGCTCTTTCCTTTATAAAAATAGTTTTGTGTATGATGACCTTATTGTGCTTAGGCACTTCTGTTGTATTTTGGCTAGCACAATATTACAGTACTTGTAATCTTCCATTTGGACTTGATAGATTTAAAAGGTCCTTTACTTGCCATCATCAAACTATAGACAGTAAAACACTACACAGTTTTTTTTTTTTGGCAAAACAAAGTCTGTATGCCACAGCTATAAACCCAACATATTTAATCCAACTGGTCCAGAATTCCAAGTAGCATTCAGAACCATTGCCCTGCCCCAAATAACTGCTGAATATAGCTCTTCTCCAAGCTTTGTCCTTGTGGATAAAACCCTAATAGGTTGACTCCAAAAACCTTGTAGAATATAAAAGTGAAAACTATAACCCTTCTGGATGCTTTTGCTCTATCCTACTGAAGGACTATAACTCTATTACATTTTATATAGGATGGTTCAGACGGCTTACAGATGGGTTCACTGTCCATAATATATGACTTTTCCCACAAAGGTGACACCAGGAGTAGACTGTCCTCTAGGGCGCCTCTAGTCTTTGCCTGACTTCCCCCTTTGGACATGTTGTATATCAAGTTCCAATAAGCTATTCCAAAACCATCTACTTGTGGTGTGGCAGCTAGAAATTTTGCAAAAGGCTTCCAGAAACTGCCAACATGGAACGCTGGTACGAGCATGCTTCCTGTAACACACTGCTTACAGTGTTGGCTTTTGAGGCCCAGAGCTCGTGGGCCACCCCGAATCCTGGACATAAGACATGTAAAGGGAGAAAACCCCATTTTCATTTAACAGATGTTTCTCATCCTTTCTTTTCCTTGCAAAGAATGATTTGAAACTGTAAATTGATATGAATCTATGAAGCCTGTTGTTTGGGTTGAAATGAATGGAATGCTGGGCTCTTCTGCTGCAGCACGAGGCTAAGGTACCTAAACAATCCTACTCTCATACCCACTCTTATGTAAAATGAGTTGATTTGAGATGTCTTGCTAATCCTTTCCCATAATTCTTAGCTCTGGCATATACATATTGGTGTGGCATGGTGAACAGGAATCTGGTTTTGGTTGCGGAATAGATGGCAAAAATTGGTTCTCAAACCTGCTCAAAAATGTGAAGGTCAGCTCTGTCTGCTTGTACATGCTTCTGTTCAGGTTTGTATGACCAAACTAAAGATGTTGGCCCATGCCTTTGACAAATGGACTCTAACCATAGGCAGGCATATGTACATAAGAATGGCCATACTTGGTCAGACATTGGTCCATCTAACTCAGTATTCTGTCTTAACAGTGGCCAGTGCCAAATCCTTCTGGCAGTTGGAGGTTTAGGGACACATGGTGCAAGGTGTGGGCGTACTCTGGATTTATATTGTGGCATTATGATATTTTCTGTTTCATTATCTATTTCTTTCCTAATGCTTCTATTAGCTTTTTTGACTGTTGCTGCACATTGCGCAGATGTTTTGAGAGAATTATTTGGACTCCAAGATATTTCTTAAGTGGCAGTAGCTAATTTAGATCCAATCATTTTGTATGTATAATTGGGATTATTTTTTCCAGTGTGCACTACTTTGCACTTTTCAACATTGAATTTCATCTGCCATTTTGTTGCACAGTGCCCAACTGACCGTTTATTCCTATCCTGTTTCCTATCTTTTAACCAGTTACTGATGCATGAGAGGATCTTCCTTCTTATCCTATGATTGCTTAATTTTTTAAAAGCCTTTAGTAATGGACCTTGTCAAAAGCTTTCTGAAAGTCCAAATACACTGTATCAACTGGATCACCCTTATCCACGTGCTTGTGGACTCCATCAAGGAGTTACTAGATTGGTGAGGCATGATTTCCCTTTACAAAAGCCATTTTGACTTTTCCCCCAACATACTGTGTTTGTTCATGTGTTTTATAATCTTGTTGTTTATTACAGTTTCAAATAATTTGATGGGTACTGAAGTTAGGCTTACCAGCCTGTAATTGCCGGGACCGCTTCTGGAGCCTTTTCTAAAAACATAGCTACATTAGCTATCCTCCAGTCATCTGGTATGGAGCCTGATTTAAGCAATAGGTTACATCCCAGTTAATATATCTGCAAGTTCATATTTGAGTTCCTTCAGAACTCTTGGGTGAGTACCGTCTGGTCCTGGTGCTATATAATTTATCAGTTTGGTCCAAAACTTCCTGTATTGACACCTCAGTCTGGTACAGTTGCTCAGATTTGTCACCTAAAAAGAATGACTTGGGTATAGAGCTCTCCCCTATGTCCTGTGTAGTAAAGAATGATGCAAAGAATTCATTTAACTTCTGTGCAATGGCCTTCTCTTCCTTTAGTGTTCCTTTAGAACCTTCCAGTGACCCATTGACTGTTTGGAAGGCTTCCTGCTTCTGATGTACTTAAAAACACATTTGTGTCTTGTTAGTTGCTCTTTCGATTCTTTTTTGACCTGCCTTGTTATCTTTTTCACTTGACTTGCCAGAGTTTATGCTCCTTTCTATTACTCTCAATAGGATTTGATGTCCAATTTTTATAGGATGTCTTTTTGCCTCTAGCTGCCTCTTTTACTCTGCTGGTTAGCCCTGGAGGCATTTTTTGGTCCTCTTACTAGTTTTATTCGTTGTTTGTTTGTTTGTTTTTTTTTAATTTGGGATCTACAATTAGTCTGAGCTTCCATTATGGCATTTTAAAATTGTCTTTGTGCAGTTTTCAGGCATTTCACCCTTGTGACTGTTCCTTTTAGTTTCCATTTAACTAGCTTCCTTATTTCTGTGGAGTTCCCCCCTTTTTGAAGTTAAATGCTACAGTGATGTGTTTCTTTATTGCTTTTCTCCTTACAAGGATGTTAAATTTAATTATATTCTTGTGCTATTACTGACCGATTCATCTATATTCACCTCCTGGACTAGATCATGTGCTCCATTTAGAACTTAATCAAGAATTGCATCTCCCATGGTGGGTTCCAGGATGAGCTTCTCCAAGAAAGTTATTTATGGTGTCTAGAAATTTTTATCTCTGCATCCCTTTTTGAGGTGACATATACCCAATCAATATGAAGATAGTTTAAATCAGCCTCTCGAATCTCCCTGAGCATTTCACAGTCCTTGTCACCATCCTAGTCAGAGTATAGTGTATTCCTACTGCTATACTCTTACTGATCAAGCATGGAATTTCTATCGTTAGAGATTCTGTGGTACAATTTTGATTCATTTAAGATTTTTACTTTGACGCTGTGCTTTCTTTCACACATGGTGCCACTCCCCCACCAGTGTGACCTATTCAGTCATTCCCATATATTTTGTACCCTGGTATTACCTTGTCCCGTGATTATCCTCATTCCACCAAGTTTCCATGATGCCTATTATATCAATACCCTCATTTAAGCCAGGCACTCTAGTTCACCCGTTTTAGTATTTAGACTTCTAGCATTTGTCCATTTTGTCAATATTCAGTTGCTTGCCTTCATGTGTTATATTTAAATGGAACTCTTTTGCATTTGACTGTTCTTCATTAACTCCTACCTGTACTTTACGAACTTCTTTTCTGTCTTTTTTTCCAGTATATAGAATTTCCCCTTTAATAAACTCATCCCTAAGGGATGACTCTGCCCGAACCATGTGCTCCACCACACTCATTGGCTTTCCCCCAACCCTTAATTTAAAAAATGCTCTACAACCTTTTAAATTTTACATACCAGCAGTCTGGTTCCACTTTGGTTTAGGTGAAGCCCATCCTTAATGTATTGGCTCCTTCTTTCCCCAAAGGTTCCCCAGTTCCTAATAAACTTAAAACCCTCCTCCCTACACTCTCATCTCATCCATTCATTGAGACCCTGCAGTTTTGCTTGTCTTTCTGGCCCCTGCTCATATAACTGAAAGCATTTTAGATAATGCTACCATGGAGGTCCTGGACTTCAATGTCTTATCTAGCAGCCTAAATTTGGCGACTGGGACCTCTGTCTTACCTTTCCCTATATCACTGGTGCCTACATGTACCATGACCACCAGCTCCTCCCAATCACTACATATAAGCATGTCTAGAGGCCTTGTGAGATCTGCAACCGTCGCACCTAGCAAGCAGTTTGCAGTGTGTTTCTTCAAGTCATCACAAACTCAACTATCTATATTTCTAATAATCATATATCCTCCATTACTGTTATCTCTTTCTTCTTAATAATTGGGGCTCCCTTCCCTGGAGGAGTATCCTAAGTGCAAGAAGATGCCATGACATCAAGTGGAAAGAGGTTCCCAACTATGATGATGGTTTCCGTCCATTCCAGCCTGTTGTTCTCCTTCCATGAGACTTTCATCCTCCTTAATAGCACAGATTCTGTCAGATTGGAGGTGGGATTGCTCTATTATGTCCCTGAAAGTCTCATCTATTTACCTCTCTCTTCCCTGTAACTCCTCTAGTTCAGCCACTCTGGCCTCAGAAGCCTGGATTGTTTCTCTGAGGGCCCCAGAGCTGTTTGTACTGCATGCACACACATGCTACCTGCCCACAAGGCAGGTAATCATACATGCTGCTTTCAGTGCAATAAACTGGGTAACCCTGCACTCTGCTGCTGGACTTATGCTTGCATTATTTTTACTCTTTCAGGGTTTTGTGTGTGTGTTACTGGCCTAAGTTTAAACTGTTTAAGTCTATGTGCCTCTTGCTTGCGCTCTCGCTCACCTCTCCTGTTCACTAGCTCCTCTGTTGCTTAGGAGTTGTCTTTTAAAACCCCTGCTCTCCCTGAGTTCTCTGCCCCCTCTTCAAGGGATTCTAAAAGGATTAGTGATCAAAGGATGGCAGTCTGGAGTCACACCACACTATAATCTTTAATCAAGTAAGCACATGGCAAGCAAGCAAATGTAAATGTGGGGGATGACAATTTAGGGTCGTCATGGGCTGGCAACCTGGAATCGTTCAGCGGGGGAATGGAGTTCAACCAGCAGTTTTCCAAAACTGACAATATAGGTGCTCAAGCTAATGCCTTAGAGGTGGGATCACCTTGTGTCACTCAACAGTAACATCTAGCTGTCCTCAATAGCAGCAGATCATAGTGATGAGTCTTGAGTGATAAGAACATCCTCTACCAGACTGGAGAATAAGTGTTGCGTCAAACAGCTGGGCCTGTAGCCATTCTATTTAGGTTTGTAAAGACCCTGTAGAAAACTGATAAAGTATTACGTAGTATGGAGATTTGAAGAAGTCAAATAGAGCCCTCACCATGTAGTTGTAATACAGTATCTACATAGCTACACTGTATAAAACCAGCTCAAGCTATTAAATGGGCTGGATAAAATGACGACTGTTTCTCAGAGATGGTTTAAAACAGTAGAGCTATTCATTGCAGCAACATGGGTTAACTTATTTGTGTATTTCTAGTAGCAGAATTATAGTGGAGTAACTCTGTGTTGTTCTGGTGCCTAGAAGGGGTTAATCTAATCTTTGCAATAGACTAGGAGTATGTGTGGTATCTGCGATAGCCTCACAATCCATTATATTCTGCTGCTTATACTTTACACCATCATAAGAGAAACTTTAAATCCAAAATGAGACTCTCTGGAGCTTTGAAATACCACTGCTGTAATGGAGTAGCAAGTCTCTTGTTTTGGGTGGTCTTTAAAATGGCTGTGTGCGCTCGTGGTGGGGGAGAGGGAGAATAAAGGACCTTCTAGGAAACTTAAAAGGTAGAATGAAGAAACAAAGGGCATATAAAATACCTGCCCTGCTTCTGGTGCAATCTAAATAATATCCCACTAAGAACTGCAATTTATTTTTCCGTTTATTTGGTGAAACCCAATGCTGCCATCCTTAGTCAAGACTTCCTTGGTAGGAGTTTTGCTTGAGTAAACGTTTATGTACAGACAGTAAAATTTAGTGACTGGTACACATTTTCCTTTGCAGCTATATAAGGTTAGCACAATACCAAGTATAGAAAATACTATAATGTTGTTACCTAATTACGGAGCCAATCAAAAACTTTTTAACCAAACAATTGAGCTGCGTCACCTCTAGAATTCACCTCTATTTCTTTAAATAGGTACGATGATGCCCTGCAGCTATATGACAGAATTTTACAAGAAGATTCAACCAATACAGTAAGTTAAATGTTTTCCCTGGAAATAATATTGTTTTAATTTGTACTAAACCTTTGCTAATATAAGTGTAGTGAAATCATTGGGTAATTGAGAAATCATTTTTTAAAACTTCCTAGTGTAATATTCTAGCATTTATTTGTTTTCAGAATTATTTAATTTCCTTTCATCAAAAGGATTCATGGTTGCATTTTCTTTTACGTAAGTTGAATTTTGAGAGCCTATCACTGTAAATGATAGTCCTGTTTAACCTCAGTGGGTATGTTTACACTTGCGGCTGGCAGCAAGCCTCCCAGCCTAGGTAGACAGACTCACGCTAGTGTGCTAAAGCTAGCAGTGTGGACATTGTGGATTGGGCTGGAGCTCAGGCTGTCAAGCAGTCCTGTTGGTGGCAATCCAGTTCTAGATGGTAGATAGACTAAAACTAGTCTCTTATGTCTCTCCTATCCCTACCTTCTGTTAATCTGATTTTGAAAATAAAAATATGTTCTGTGAATGTTTGAATTGCACGCTACCTTTCTCAGTTTAATAGCTGGAAGGCTATAAACTTGCTCTTGAGTCAAACTGTGATTCACTGTACAGTGTGCCCATTTTAAAAAAATCACTGTGCAGAGATTTTGGGCTCCTGGCATCATCCATGCAGATGACACTTGCAGTCCTGCAATGCTGTGTGTTCTTAAGTATTGCTTCAGTGCTGGTTTTGGAATTACTTTGAAGGACTTTCTTTTTTGAGACTTTATCTTGCCACCTGATATGCAAAATAGTTTGAAGGTGCAAATGATTAACTTTTTCCAGAGCTACCATGCTGGCAGCAGCTCATCTGTGTCTCAGCTGTTGGATAAAGTTGGAAATTACCATGATATGGTAAAGGTAGGCTTGGGTCTTTTGTGTGGCAGTTGACTGATTCCAGTTCCTGTTATAATGCATTAAAAAGGGTAGGCAGTATGCCTTTTTAATTTGGTAATGATTTCTTGTTTCTTCTTATTTTTGTATTAGTAAACTTCTCTATGTATTCTTAGGACATAATTCTATCCTGTGGTTTTGTTGTTGTTTTTTTTTTTTTTTTTAAATCCGCATTGGTACATGACAGTGGTTTGAGCATTAGTGATAGCACCTGTGTGTATCTTGTGAGCTCTGAGAAAAATTCGATTCTTTAGATTGATAAAATTGCAGTTACTAGCTTCAAGCATCAATTAAATTAAACTAGTCTTTGCAAAATTTACCCATTTTCCTGGGCTAAGTAATTTGTGTGTTCTTTTTTTTGGATAGACAAGTAAAATATCGCTAGTCCTGTCTTATTAGTAGATCATTCCTCAGTCATCTTGGAGGCTTTCACAGGAATTTTGCAAAGTTGAATCAAAAACTTAAATCCTCCTAATAAGTAGGTTAAAGGCATATTAAAGGATATTTCTAAAATGAAATCACCCAGTCTTTTGGTTTGTGGATCCCCTAAATCCAGATGCCCTGCAGCTGGTGGCATCTACTCAATGGGATGCTTTTAGCACAGTCTCTGATATTTCATTCCTTAATAGTCTGGAAAGCAGAGCTTGTATATTAGAAATAATATATGTGATGTCCTCCTCCTCCATCACTGAATATTGTATCTTTCAACATTTGTGTGGACTATAAAATATTTATTTTTTTTTTTAAAAATACCAACATTTTAGGGCTTGAGGGGAACCTGGCTTGCAACATCTTTGTAGATGGGCTTTCATCTTGAGTGCTGTTCTGTAAGGATTTGATAGTAGTATGGTGCATGCCTTGACATCATGTGGAATGGGAACTGCAGTTGCACAGGATGTGAATTTTACGGACTTGAAAAAAAGAAAGTTATTTGAACAGTAGCAATGTCCTGCCATGTCATTTAAGATATTTGGGACATTTCAGCGTTTGAGTGCTTTTCTTCCCCTCTCCCCCCACGAATACAGTTGAACACTTCATAAATACTACTGAATGTATATAGGGTCTTTCTAACCTACAGGCCATTATTTCCTCTTCATATTTTTCTAATGCTTAACACAACATTTCCCCTCCCACCCTCTCCAGTAGTACCCACAATGTCCTGCCATAAACAAAAGAAGGCACAGCTCTTGACCAGAACAGCTTATACTTTTACACTGGGGACTTCTTTAATATGAAAGGATGATGGCTATTTCATATTCAAAATGTATAGCTAGTAAGATAACCCAAAAGGGCAATACAAAATTATATGTTGTCACATAGTCTTGGCTCCCATTGTTAGTGTTTATTTAGTCACCGAGCAGGCAAATACTATTACATATTAAGTAACTTTACACATAAGTCCCATTGAAGTCATTGTGACTGTATGTACATAGATACTCAAGTGTATTAGTGTTTGTAGGGTTTAGGTAGTAGTCAGTAACTGGATCTTGCATGCAGCAAAGCTCCTTGGTCTCTTGGCTTAGCATTGTACATCACTGTGCTTACAAAGCCTGACTTGCATCCACTTCGGTATTATGGTGCATCTGAGTTTCTTCACTTCCTCTCATTCCAATTTATTTTTTCCTCCATAGGTATCAAATGAAACTGTTCTCAGTGGTAAAAAAGCTGTTCTTTACTGATGAACAGTCAAGAGAAAAAGCTTGATGGGAAGCCATTTTGCATAGTTGTTATACATTCTTTCTCCTCCTTGAATTGCAACTAAGTCAGACAATGTCCTTTTAACTCATAATTATTTTGTCTTCATCTCTCAGGAGGCTGGTGCCACAGAGTCCCATGTACTCTTTCTGAAGATTTTTGTTCTTTCAGTTTTTGATAGGCACTTACACACGTATGATACTTTCAGGTATTCTAGACAGGCCGGAGGATTTGGAAGTCACATGTTCACATTCAGCAATGGATTTCAAACTCCGCTAGCTTTTTTGCAATCCACTTATTTTCCTTGGTTTCCTATTTATGTCTAAAGGGTGCACACAAACATGGGGAAACTGACTATACAGGGATAGTCTGATTAAAAATAACTCTACACCAACCACTATCAAATGCACAAAGTTGGAAAAAATACATGTAAATCATTTTTGGAAGAAATGGATCTTACACGTTATAACAAATGTAAGTAAAGGCTGTTTGAATAGCATGCTTTTACATTGATGATATCCCTGTTTTCGAGTCAGATTAAATTGTCTTTTTGCAACGATTTCTGGCTCATGAAAACTGGGCAGAATTCTGTCCAGTGGTGAAAAGAACAAAACTCCTTTAGCTTTCTCTGGAAGTCATGCTGAAACAAAGCAAAGATGCTTCTAAAGTGTAGTCACATTTTACAGGAATACGTCAGCTAGGTATGTGTGTTGTAAGATTCTGCTGAAACTAATGGAAAATGGAGCTCCATATTTAAGATATGGGTAGACCATAAACCTTTTGAAGTACATATTTTTGGCAGGTGCACTTTTCAGCTGTTTCCAAATGGCGAACATCATCCGAATCTGTGGTTTGTTGGATATTATTATTTAAATGTATAATTTTGTTTTAGTAAGGAACCATCATGCTTGATGAAATTATCTAATTGTTTTTCTCCATTAAAAATCCTAAATACATACAGACATTAATAGTGAAAGGTATAAAATATTGTAAACTCAAATATTAGAACAGGTGTGTGACATCCTGACTTTCTCAGATTCTGAAAATAGAGGAGGCTCTGCTCAATATAGAGCAAAGTTTGTGGTGGTGGCGTGTTAAAGATAACTGTAGAATAGATTGGGTCAGTCTTGCATTTGAAGAGTGAAAGTCAAATAGAAACTTGATAAATTGTCAGGTATTTGAATTATTTGTCATCTACCTGTTAATTATTTCCATGCACACATGTGGCTGCTGTAGGAAAATAAATGTTTCAGGGTTTTAAAAAAGTAACCATGGCTGAGTTTGTCTTGGCACTCACTTTGCCGTGCACCAGTTTTTTCTGGTGTGCTGACACATGGAGTTGCTTAGATATATTAAACATTTTTTTTTCTCGTTTGGCAAGTGCTGTAAGTGAAACAGACGTTTGTTCACACAAGTCGTAAAAATCACACACTGCATGGATTGACAGTTTCAGCAAGAAGTTGCTTGGGAATTGTACAAAGATTAAGAAATCATTTGTTTTTTGAGATCCAGCAGATTTTTTAATTGTGGTAAATGGAATTACGAACTTAACTTCATGAAATACAAAAGTGCATCTTCATGTCAGTTTTTGTTAGACTTAAAACTTCTGAATTAAGAGAATGACCAGAAGAAGAACTCTTTGTAAGATTGACAGCTAGTCTCACTCACCAGCAGAAGCTGGTCCAAAAAAAGATATTAGCTCACCTGGCTTGTCTCTAATATCCTGGGACCAACATGGCTACAACAACATGGCAAACAACTATTTTATTGGACTATTTAAGGATGGGGGTTGACATAGGTGTTTAGTTTTGTATAAATGTAAAAGCCTCACTTAAGAACATTTCATTCTCCCTTTCAGATCTCTAGCTGGAAGAAAATTAAGCCACTCAATTTTGGAGCCATGTTAAAATTGTTTTATTTATATTACAGTAGCGACTCGAGACCAGCTGAGATTAGGATTCCACCATACTAGGCACTGAACAGACACAGAATAAGAAAAAATCTCTGACACCTCACACCTTCAGGGCAATCTAAGGTGTGGCTAGAATGAGAGAGGGACAGGAGCCCAGGTGGGGGGAATAGGAGCAGAGGAGGACAGAGACAGGCTGGGGACACAGGAGTAGAAGGGTCTAAAAGGGCTAAAACCCCATAATGCGGACTCACTTCTAGAACCCAAAACTGAATTTGGGAGTTCAGAGTCTCTGCAATCATCTGTTGTCAGCCTAGAGCTATAAAACCCAGTGGCAAAGACTGTGTGTCATTCTCCTCTAGGGTGTGGTGCACACTGAAGATAATAGCTTGCTGCTGCTGTCTGTTATTGTGTTAGCTCTAATGTTAAAGGTCTGTCTGGTGGATAATATCTGAACCCTGCTGATGACTCAGGATGGTTCCAAATAGAATTTCTA